ATAAAAAAAAATAATTTTAAACATGAGGGTGAGAGATGTATGAAAAAGATGACTGATAATACTGGCGGTGGTGTGACCAAAGATAATACTGCTTGCTCGATACACAAAATTAACCAAATCAAGTCAAGTGATACAATTCAGAATGCGACACATCAGCTCAAAAATTCAAATATCTTAGGACTAGGAACATTGGAAGACTAACGACACATACTAGGAGAAAATTATATTAACTTTCTTAACGAGTGAGGTTAGTAACGCCCTGGAGACATCTGCAGATAACCTCAATGACAACAAGCAGACAGAAAAGTAAATCAAAACAAAGAGTAAACAAAACAGGCATTTTAAATTAAATTTTCAACCGGGTAGCTCGAGTTAAAAAGGGTAATTATCTAGGAAAGAAAGGTAATGCGAAGCCAAAAGCCAGTCTGCCCGCTACCCTTCCAACGACCCGGGTAGGCCACCAAGCTTGAGCCGGGACTCGAGAACTATTTAACACACGAAAAGCTACACATTGCAACCAAATAAATGTAGTTCGATCCAAATCGAACAGAGCAAACAATTTTAATCTCGTCTAGTTTGAAGAGAAGCATAGAATTCTCAGCATTATAAAGGGGAACCCAACCATGAATGGAAAGCATCCAACGCAAGAAGACGCTGCATATCGGCTACTTACTTTGGCTCTCAAGAGCTCTTCCAGAAGTTCTGGCCTCTCCAAAAGTTTCCTGCCTCTTTTCACATTATAATGGAACGATAAAACTTGCCTCGCGACTTTTCCCGTTGTGTAAATTCATTCGATAAAACTAATAAAACTTAATTCGGCGAATCTGTCGTCTATGCCAAAATAAAAACAACACCGCTCTGCTGACGCCGTCCCACTACCAACCTCACAAAAAAAAATATTTCGAATTTTTACTTGGTCTGTTTGCTTTTGAGGGAGGTCTAAAGTTAGTCATCTCCATAATTTCCTTTAATTTATGCCACTGCACCCTGTTTACAAGGACATTATTGTTGTATAACTGTACAAGAGTGAAGAAATTTCTTTCGAATAAAAATCGATGTAAGGATTAGACGGGCCGTGAGAGCGCCCCCGAAGTGCTCCGACGAAGAATTTCCGAGTCTGGCATATGACAGGGTTGGCGGACCCCTCCCGATAGATGGGTAGATGGAGGGTCCCGCCGCCCGCCACCGCTGCTGCTCTGAGCGCCAAAGTCCAAGCCAAAAGCTAAAGCTACCACTCAACAAGTCTCAAGTTTTATTTAATGGATGTTTTCGGCATTTATAAGAAAAGTCTATATTTGCTAAGGATATTTAAGAAAAGTCTATATTTGCTAAGGATATTTCAGGATCGGCGAATCTTCCAAATAAATACATAGGCACCGGTAGTAAAACAAAAACATCTGTATAGATGAGACTTTAAAAACCAA